AATATCCCGAAATAAATAAATAAATAAAATGAAATAAAAAAAATAAAAGCTAAAAAAAAATTGATTTTGGTATAGTTAGGGAGTTGTCCTTAGAGGAAGCAGAACTAAAACTCAAAAGCTCATGAGTAAATCGTTTTTCATTAGGGTGTCTGTCTGGGTTCCATACAATGATTATCAAAATTGTTTTATTGGCAAACATTACAATGTTTCAATGATTTGAAAGATTTTTGCTGACTAAGTTGATATGAGGGGGAGAGACTGGAGTCTAGGATGACTTTCAGGTTTTTGGCTCATGCACTTCAAGGTGGTGATGATATTCACTGAGTTAAGAATTGCAAGTGGAGGAGAGTGTGACTTGGAGGAAGAAGATAACTGTCAGCACTTACCACCGTGACTCTCACTCTCAGCTGTCTCAGTCAGGCTGATGTGATTTGCTGTTCTCTGTACATCAAGATGGAGTTTTTTTTTTGGCAAGTGTGAAACGAAGTTTATTGAGGAAGGACAAGATAGGTTTACAGAGTAAGAGCAAGATACATTCGCCATACAATGGCAAACGGGCCTCTTGTAACAAAAAGGCCAAGATGGAGACATTGACTCTGCATGTTGTTTCTCCATTAGTGAACAAAGGATCATAAACAATTAGAATTAGAATGGATCTTTAAAATCATTTAGTTCATACCTACCTCTTCTCCTCATTAATTCCCCAAACCAATGTTTGAATTCCCTTCATACTCTTCCTGTGAAATGATCATTCATGCAGATTAAATTGCTTAATCTCTCTCAGTCTCAATTTCCATAACTGTAAAATGGAGAATCATATTACCACCTCAGAAGATTAAATCAGATAATAGATGTATAGCACTTATCACAGTACTGAGCCAGTGTTTAATAAATCCTTAATTTTAGCTTCAAATAACAATGTTGGCCGGGCGCGGTGGCTCACGTCTGTAATCCTAGCGCTCTGGGAGGCCGAGGTGGGCGGATCGTTCTGAGCTCAGGAGTTCGAGACCAGCCTGAGCAAGAGAGAGACCCTCTCTACTAAAAATAGAAATTGGCCAAACAACTAAAAATAGAAAGAAAATTAGCCGGGTATGGTGGCGGATGCCTGTAGTCCCAGCTACCTGGGAGGCTGAGGCAGGAGGATCCCTCGAGCCCAGGAGTTTGAGGTTGCTGCGAGCTAGGATGACGCCAAGGCACTCGCCCCAGGCAAGAGAGTGAGACTCTGTCTCAAAAAAAAAAAAAAAAAATGTCATACAGTTTGTAACCATTGTGAAATCAATTCTAGTGTGTAGTGACCAGCAATTTAAAAAAGTGAAATAAATACATGTAGTATGTGTATTTCATAAAATATTTCCACATAAATGTCAGTATATATTATATAGTTATATAGTATATAAATTTATACATTTACTGTATATTTATCATATATAACATTTATGTATGTGGATATATGTGTATGTGTGTCCTGGGCCACAATGTGAAATGTTTTACTGGGGGTTAGGTGGAAAAATTTTGAGAAACACTGTAACATTAACATACGTTACAGTGATTTCTGATGTTTCATGTTGAAAGCCAGATCTTATTTTTAAAGAGATTAGCCTCTGTTCAAGCCTTGGAAACTTTAAAGTACTGTATCTCTAAAATATTTTTGTTGTCAACTCCTAGCACAGTAGTATTTGGTAAATAGAAGCGGCCAAACACATGTTGATTGAACCGGGAAGGACAAATAGTATGAAGATGCATAGACTAGCGGTGCTTTTCTGGGTGATCAGACTCCTTTTGAGAAGTTGTTGAACGTTTCAGACCCTCTTTCTGGAATGCCAAGCACTCAATTTTGAACAGATTTCAGAGAATTCCTAGTCCCCATCCATTGGCCCTCTAAGGGTTCATGGACCCCTAAATTAAGGACCCTGAAAGGAGGGTGTTTAACTTCTGACAGTGAGTGTGTGAGGTCGGGAGCGGAAGAAGGTTTGAGATTAGATTACTTTTTAAATTCTCCTACAAATCCTGGGATTCTAGAACTTCTGTTCCATTAGTGCCAAAGAATAGAGGGGACAACTTTAACATTTCTTTTACAAACGTTATGTCATTTGAATGCCATGATAATCCTGTGACGATGAAATTGACGCTCTGAGGGGTTTAGTGACTTATCTAAGAGGACACAGCTGGTAGGCTCTGGAAAAGGGACTAGAATCAAATTTCTAAATTTTCGGAGATGAAATTGGGCAGGGAAAATAAGGCGGAGGAAGGGGCGGGACCGCGCACGCGCACAGTTGCATTGGTGCGGACGGCTCTGGGTTTCCTCTCGCAGCTACCCTGCCTCAGTCCAGTACGGTGGCCGGCGGGAGTCAGACGCTTGGGATGAATGAAGGCGCTGAGTGCAGGTTGCAAAGGTCTCTTCCGCTTTTCCCTCCCTCCAGTCCCGGTTCTGCCTTTGTGCGCGGTCCCCACTCTGCCCCCTTCCTATCGACGACCCGGTTGGTCCCGGCGTCTGACTTCTTGGTGCCCGAATCAACTCAGGGCACAGCTAGGGTTTGGGGATCCGGATTATCGCCTAGGCCCAACTTCGGGCCGCGCTCTCCATTTCTGCCGCGTCCCGCCTCTAGGACGCGGAATCCGGTTGGGGTTCCGTGAGGCCGGAGAGGTAGATCTTAAGGTATGAAGCGTTTGCTTCTCAGACCTCAGCGCGTCCACGTCGGCAACCGGCCAGACTTTTCTCAGCCTGAGGGACTCGTTGGCTTGTTACGCCGGGGGCGAGACGTATGAGCTCACAGGTCTTGGCGCCTCTGCTCTCTCAGCCCGCCCCTCTGTTAAAAGACCAGCTCCTCCTGCTTGAAAGCAAAGCAGGGTTTCTGCCTGCAACGCACGGTTGTGCTAGTCAGTCGGTCTTAAGAGGGGATGGCTTTGGCTACCTGCTCACTGCCTTTTTATTTGTTTGCTTTTTGGACCTTTGATGACTCATGAAGACAGAGAAGTGCCCAAGTGGGACTCTCCTCTCTCTCTCCCACAGCACCTAGACATCTGTTTTTTACCCAGTAACACAGGGGACGTAGGGTAGTGTTGTGGCCTCCAGAGCTTTATTGCTGGCATTGCTTATGCCCAGAGAGGTGATTTATCAGTGTTTCCACCGACTCATGGAGGGTGGGAAAAAGAAGCCCAACACTTCTTTCGGTATGTTGGGTAGCCATGCGAAACTAAAGGGATATGGAAGAGGATCATTTCTAACACACTGACTGCCACACTAGGAAAAAAATTTTTTCCTTGGGGCCAAGGTGTTGTATTACGAAAATAGAATAAAAACTTTGAAAACAAAACGATCCTTTCTAATTTAATGAAAAATTTGTTATTTTTTATTGTTTTCTGTGCGTGAGTTATATGCAGCTTGAAAAATAGTTCACATGGCTCCCAAGGTGAAGAGACATGTGTTTCTTCAGGAGGCCCTGGGCTCAAAACTAGTGTGAGTTAAATACAACTCACGTGGCAGTTAATGTGTTAACTATGACCATTCATTTACTTTTGTTTACATTTTGTGGAGCTCAAATGACTGGTATAGTGGAGAAAGACTTGGATTGAGATTTAATAGATGAAGATTCAGCCTTGGATTGTGCCACTAATTAGTAATATTACTTTGGGCCTGCTACTTCATCTCTGTCTGGGCTTCATATTCTTTCTTTCTTTGATAAGAGTGTTAGAGCAGAAGATTCCTAAAGCTGGAAGAGACATTAATATACTTTCTTCCTCAGTTTCCAGATGGCATAGAAACATAGGGAGATAGAAGCCTTGTCTTTAATAGTGCCAGGAACATTGCCAACATAGGGGCCTATTAAAGATACACCATATTTCTGAGGGTTTTTAAAAAAGAGGGACGGTCATAATTATGGAAGTTATACCCCTACTTTCATTTCTGTTTTTACCATCAGGATCAACAGTGATGATGACTGAGTGTACAAGCCTTCAGTTTGTCAGCCCATTCGCTTTTGAGGCAATGCAGAAAGTGGATGTTGTTCGCCTGGCATCTTTAAGTGATCCAGAACTGAGACTTCTCCTGCCTTGTTTGGTGCGGATGGCACTTTGTGCTCCTGCTGACCAGAGTCAAAGCTGGGCTCAGGATAAAAAACTTATCCTTCGCCTTCTCTCTGGGGTGGAAGCTGTCAACTCCATTGTTGCATTGTTATCTGTGGACTTTCATGCTTTAGAACAGGATGCCAGCAAAGAACAGCAGCTTAGGTAATGTTATGTTATATAATATGTGGATTGGGATTTACTTGGATTTGTCAAAGAAGAGGGAATCAGATATTTTTCCAAGCTTTCAGAGCTCCTCCAGAAAAGATAGAATGAGAATATGAACTCTAGAGAGCATTTTACTTAAATCTTTTCTGTTTATGGTTAAAGTTCTAGGATCTTTTGACTTCTATATTATAATATGTCTAGAGAAGTTTGGCTATGTACTATTGTATTCTGGCTAAATTAATTAGGCCAGTTACTCTAAGTGTAAACTGGGTAGGATAACTTCCCTTAGATTAGAGAGATTTATTGGAATCACTTAGGAGGCTTTTTTTTAAACTTATGTTGATTCCCAAAGAGTCTGGGCACATGTTATGTGCTTCCCTGCCCATTGTGAATCCAATAGTAAGCCACTGTTGTTAATTGAAGTGGGTGTTAGCTCTCAGTTGTGATGATATCTTTACAAAGGGTATGAATCCTTGAAACAGGCAAACTAAATAGTATTTCAGAAGTAATAGAGAACATTTGGAATTTATACATTCTTTTGTAGATTATTCAATAAAAGATAATTTTTGTGCAATTATTTCCATACCAGTCTTCTCATAATTGTTGTTTTTATGTTTTTGTACTTCATTAGGCATAAACTTGGAGGAGGCAGTGGAGAGAGCATCCTGGTATCACAGCTTCAGCATGGACTGACATTAGAGTTTGAACACAGTGATTCACCTCGTCGATTGCGTCTAGTGCTTAGTGAACTGTTGGCAATTATGAACAAGGTGCATTTCTTTTAACCATAGCTTAAAGTATGTATGATTTGATGTCTACATATAGAAAAGTAGACAGGAATAGAGGGAAGAAGGCAGGCAGGTTGCATCCTCTTCTACTTGTATTTCTAATTTGATATGTGTTTTCCTTTCAAAGGCTGAAAGGATATTAAAAGCCTGTCTTAAAGGCTTTCTTTCTCTAATTACTTCTTCTAATTACTCTCATTTATGCCTATTCTGCTTTCTCTATGATAGGAATTTTTTTCTGTTTGGGGTCCATACAATGGCTTCTTAACATTTAGAAGGGAATTTATCTTAAGTCTTGTACAATTTACCAAATTTGATAAGATCTTTATAAGATATAATTTCTCCCATAAAATAATGAAGTATAACTCAAAAATACGTGTGATTCATTTATACACTGGATGGGCATTAAGTATCTTAAGTGTGACAGTGAGTAGAGAGTATCAATACCGAATTGGATATAGGATGATTGGTTAGACTTGCTTACTAAATGACTGAATTGCTTCTGTATACTGATGAAGGCTATTCAAATTCTCAGCAAAACTATAGATTATTTTAGCATGGATCTTTGGGTAATTATGGTTAATGGAAACTCTGAATGGTTAAATTTGTGAAGGTCAGGGGTCTTATCATACAAAGAACTAAGTTGGGTCTTCATATTAAGATGACTTATATGAGATTAGGCCCAGAATTTAAGAGGCAAAAGTTATTTACTGTTAGAATTTTGGGGTCAGTTAATTTATGGTAAATAAAGTTTAGGTTGTTTTGTTTGTTTTGGGACAGGGTCTTGCTCTGTTGCCCTAGGCTGGAATGCAGTGGTATCATCATTGCTAACTGCAGCCTTGAACTCCTAGGCTCAAGGGATCCTCCCATCTCAGCCTCCTGAGTAGCTAGGACTATAGACACACACCACCATGCCCGGCTAATTATTTTTTGTAGAGATGGGATATTGCTGTATTGCCTAGGCTGGTCTCAAACTCGTGGCTTTAAGGAATCCTCTTACCTCAGCCTCCCAAAGTATTGGGATTATAGGCATGAGCTGCTGTGCCCAGCCTAGTTGTATGAATTTTTTTTCTTTTTTTTTTTTTTGAGACAGAGTCTTGCTCTGTTGCCTGGGCTAGAGTGCCATGGCGTCAGGCTAGCTCACAGCAACCTCAAACACCTGGGCTCAAGCAATCCTTCTGCCACAGCCTCCCGAGTAGCTGGGACTACAGACATGGCTAATTTTTTCCATATATTTTTAGTTGTCTAGCTAATTTCTTTCTCTTTTTAGTAGAGATGAGGTCTCACTCTTGCTCAGGCTGGTCTTGAACTCCTGACCTTGAGCAATCCTCCCGCCTCAGCCTCCCAGAGTGCTAGGATTACAGGCGTGAGCCACCATGCCCGGCCCTTAGTTGTATAAATTGTGGACAAAAAAGACTAAATTCTGTTTCCAAAGAAAATACTGGTAGCAGGGTTTTAGCCAGTTTTAGGTAAAGTTTTAATGCTATATTATAAATCTTTGTAAAATTTCTATCACAAATAATAATTTCCTTTTTTCTACTATACTGATACTTTTAAATTTCAACCAGAATTTTTCCTACATCTTTTTCTTAGTACCTCTAATAAAATAAGTGACCGTTCTCTTTTGGGAGGTTTCCAATTTTTTAGTTCAGCGTTTTTTATTATATGGGAAATATGGTGACGAAACTATTGTGGGAAATTTTCAAAAAAGTTAGTAGGTAGTTTTGTTTATTTAAGTTTTAATTCTTTGTTTTTCTAATAGTTCATTTAGAATTGAACATGAATTTATATTATACTGCTTTGAGTTTACAGTTTTTGGCTTTTCTTAAGTGACATATAGGTAGCATTCCTAGTTCATTTCTTTGGCTTGCTTTATCTTTTTTAATTCTAGATGTCTTCACATATTTCTATAGAAATCAATTCTTGAGACTGATACTGCCATATCGGAATAATAATTAATGTGACTGCTACTTGTGGTTAAATTGGTTGAAATTGATCAAATACTGCATGTTCTGCTGTAGTATATTAGTGACATTAAGAGACATGTCTGTGAGCTCAACAAATAATGATAAAAATAGTAAGAAGTTAATTTATTACCTGAAATTAATAGACTTCATGTCTTTTTTCTTTCTTTTTTTAAAGGTGTCTGAGTCCAATGGAGAGTTTTTTTTCAAGTCTTCTGAGCTGTTTGAGAGTCCAGTCTATTTGGAGGAAGCTGCAGATGTACTTTGTATTTTACAAGCAGGTACTGTACTAAGTGCTAAGATACATTTCATATGTAGTTTCTTGTTGAATGATACTATGTAACTACTTAGCCTGGAATGTTGTGTTATTTGAAGGATCATCTAATAAGCATGTACCTTAAAAGCTTAAAGTAAAAAATGACCAATAGTAGGACAACGATTAAGTAAATTATATTATTTCCATAGTGTGGGATATTATATAGACATTAAAATGATATATTCGATTTCATGATTCTAATGCTTATTAATGATTTTAGAAAACGTTTAAAGTATGTTAAATGAAAAGCAAAGGGCAAAATGGTAAGTAGAATATAATCCCGATTTTGTTAAAAGTTAAAAATGATATCTGTGGGGAATTAAAATATTTTATGTTATTGACTTTGAGTGATGGGATGAGAGCTGATTTTATTTTTCTTCTTTGTACATTTTTGTATTTTCCAAATTCTTTATAATAGGTTATGATAGGAATAAAAGAGGACATAAAAGTACAAAGATTTTCATGAAACTCTTTAGATCAGCACTGTCCAATAAAACCTTCTGCAGTGTTCTGTGTTGTGCTGTCCAGTATAGTAGCCACTACCCACACATAGCTATAGATTACTTGAAATGTGGCTAGTGCGACTGAGGAACTGAACTATTTTAATTTATTTAATTAAAATACTCACATGTGGCTAGTGGCTGTCTTATTGAGCGGCTCTGCTCTAGACTGTGAAAAGAAAGAACTTTAATTGCTTTTAGATGACATATGTGGAATGCCAAAAGATGTTTAATATATAATACAATGAAATATCACTTTTTAATAGTAACACTGACTTTGTTTTCTCATAGAACTCCCTTCCTTGCTTCCTATAGTTGATGTAGCTGAAGCCTTGCTACATGTTCGAAATGGTGCCTGGTTCTTGTGTCTGTTGGTGGCCAATGTTCCTGATAGTTTTAATGAAGGTAAATATAATTTTAAAAATGGAATATTGAAGAGGTTTGCTTGGGCATGTACAGAATCTGTTTTTCTGAGCTAAGAGGAAACATTTATGGGATTTTATTTGAGATTTTATCTTTTGAAAGTTTATTAGTGAAGACTTATAGAAATATTGAGTTTAGAGATTTAAAAATTGGTATTGACATTGCAAATTTAATTACAGTGAGTAATTAAAAAATTTTTGCCATTAGTCAACAGTGCTATAATATGACAGTATAAAATGCCAAGAAACTAAAAGATGTAATCTCTATGTTCAGGGAGCAAAGGGGAGGAGACATATATCTGTGAAAGAGCCAGAGGGCAATATTAGATATGTGTAATCAGAAATACCAGCGATCAGACCATTGTTAAGACTTATTGTTGTTAGTTTGCGTAAAAGTTTAGGGTAGGAATTGAGAAAAATCTACTAAAATATTTCATGTCTATTGCAAACTTCTAGTGATTGAAGATTGTTGTTTGGGTATGGGTGATATAAAAATAAAAACAGCATTTGTTGAGCAAGGTGATTTGTTGAGCAAGGTGATTTGTGAATTGGGAGCTGGGGTCGGGGTGGGGAGGGAGAAGCACTGGATCTGCGGTTTTAATTCCTGACTTTGTCACTCACTCACTGTGTGATCTCCGTCGAGATACTTAACTTCTCATCTGTTAAATGGGGATATTAATAATAATATTTCCATTACTTTTCTAAGAGATTTACTGAAGATCACATGATATGTAAAAGCTCTTTGTAAACAATGTCCCAGCAGATTTTCTGTCAACTTGTTCTATCAGAGAGGAGTGTTGATGTCTCCAAATGTAATTGTGGATTTGTCTATTTTTCCTTTTAGTTCTGTCAGTTTTTGCTTCATGTAATTTGAAGTCCTTTTATTGGGGTTGTGTGTATTTAGGATTGTTCAATCTTTTTGATGAATAGAGCCTTTTTTTCTACTATGAAATATACTTCTTTATTCCTATTAATAGTCCTTGTTTTGAAGTCTGTCTACTTTATCTGATAAATATCACCATGTCATCTTTCTTCTAAGTAGTGTTTACATGGTATATATTTTTCTTCATCTTTTAATTTTTAATCTATCTGTGTCTTTATATTTAAGGTGGATTTCTTATGGACAGGTATAGGTGGGTCTTGTTTGTTTATATCTAGTGACAGTCTCTGTCACTGAATTGGAGTGTTTGGACCATATACATAGATCATTTAATGTAATTATTGTGGTAGTTAGGTTTAAGTCTATAGCCTTGTTATTTGTTTTCCGTTTGTTCCCTTTTTCCTCTTATTCTTTGTGCCATTGTTGTCATAAATTTTACTTCTACATGTATTATAAACCTTAGAGTACATTGTTATTACTTTTGCTTTAAACAGTTAATTATATTAATATTTTAAAGACAAAAACAAGAGGGGAAAAAATCTTTATCGACATATTTACCATTTTTGGTGCTTTTCATTCTTTTATGTGTCCCTACAATGTGGCTCTATAATTCCATCTGGTATAATTTCCCGTTAGCTTAAAGAACTTCCTTCTTTTTCTTTTTCTTTTTCTTGTTTTTTTTTTTTGGAAACGAGGTTTCACTGCGTTGCTCAGGCCGGTCTCGAACTCCCTGGCTTGAGTGATCCTCCTGCCTTAGCCTCCTGAATAGCTGGGATTGCAGGTGCATGCTACTGTGCCCAGCTCACCTTCATTTTTTGTCAGCAACAAATTTTCCCAGCTTTTTTGATCTGGAAAAACTCTCATTTTTGAAAGATATATTCATTGGACATAAAGTTTTAGGATGACATTTTCTTTTAGCTGTTTAAAGATGTCATTCTGTTGTCTGTTCTGTTGTAACTTTTATCTCTGTTCCTCTATAATGTTTCTTTTTTCCTCTGGCTACTTTTGTTTGTTTTTTTTATTTCCTCTGGCTACTGTTAAGATTTTCTCTTTATCACTACTTTACAGAAATTTGATTATGATGTGTCTTGGTATGATTTTCTTTGTATTTGTCCTGCTTGGGGTTAATTGAGCATCTGAGTTTATAGTTTTCATTAAATTTGGGAAAATTTCTTCAAATTTATTTTTGTCTTTTGCTCCTTTATCTTTCTGGGCCTGTAACTGCAAGTGTGTTTGTGTGCTATTGTCCCACAGGTTACTATTCATTTTTTAAGTGTCTTTTCATTCTTTGTTTCATTTTGACTAGTTCCTGTTATGATGTTTTCAGGTTCCTTGATCTTTTTCTTCTGTAATGTCTATTCTGCATAAATGATTAATTCTCAAGGCTGAACAAAATGATTTCTATCCTCTTAGTTTGTAGGGGCCTGATTAAAAATGGAGAACGACAAGATGAAGAAAGTCTTGGAGGAAGGCGCAGGACAGATGCCTTACGCTTCTTGTGTAAAATGAATCCTTCTCAGGCTCTCAAGGTCCGAGGCATGGTGGTAAGAGATCCTATTGTTTTTGTGAGGCAAAGGCCCATATACTAGGACTAAGAACTATTCTCAAGATGGTTTTAGAATCTTATTGAGGTTTGGAATTTTAATTGTATACTGGATATATTGCCTTCCTTTGGGTTTTTATGTTTTATGTGATCTCTTCTTCTAAACTTTAGATACTTTAGATTTTGAAGCATCCTGACCCATGTCCTTATGATATTGAATTTAATTTGTTTTCTTTGCCGTGTTAGGTGGAAGAGTGTCACTTGCCAGGCCTTGGTGTGGCTTTGACATTGGATCATACTAAAAATGAAGCTTGTGAAGATGGAGTGAGTGACTTGGTTTGTTTTGTTAGTGGTTTGCTTCTTGGAACAAATGCAAAAGTCCGGACTTGGTTTGGAACCTTTATCCGAAATGGACAGCAGGTGAGGATTATGTATCTGTATAGGCTAAGGATCAGGATATTTTGATAATTACTAAAAAGAGGAAGAAACACTTTTAAAATGATGTCATTAGATAAGCAGTTCTCAAACTTTATAGTTTCAGGGACCTCCTTACATTTTTAAAAATCACTGAAGATACCAAAGAGCTTTCATTTATGTGACTTTTTTCTATTGATATTTACCATAGTAGAAATTAAAACTGAATATTTTGAAATGTTTATTTAGTTAATTTAGAAATAACAACATCCGGACATGGTGGTATGCACCTGTAGTCATGGCTATTTGGGAGGCTGAGGCAGGAGGATCACTTGAGCCCAGGAGTGTGAGGCTGTAGTGTGCCTGTAAATAGCTGCTGCACTCCAGCCTGGGCAAATAGTGAGACCCTGTCTCTAAAAGTAAAAATAAAAATAAGCCTATTAAATGTGCATATAACATATTTTTAATGAACAATAACTGTATTTTGCCTAACAAAAAACATTTGATGAGAAGAATGGTATTGTTTTATAACATTTTTTTGTCCAAATCTCTTCAATGTCTGGCTTGATAGACACTATATACTGCACTATATACTGTGAGTGAATGAGAGAGAAAAAGGCAGATAATGTCTTAGTATTATTAAGGAAGTATTTTTGCCTTCTGGAACCCCTGAAAGAGTCTTGGAAATCTCTAGCGTTATGCGTCATACTCATAAGAACTGCTGTTAGGTCATCAAAATAAATTATTATTATATTCTGTGATTTTAATATATGTATGTATATTTTTATTATGGTAAAATATGCATAACATAAAATTTGCCATTTAATCATTTTATGGGGGGTTGGACAGTGTCTCTCACTCTGTTGCCTGAGCTAGAGTGCAGTGGTGTCATCATAGCTCACTGCAGCCTCAGACTCCTGGGCTCAAGTGATTCTCCTGGCTCAGCGCGCCAGTAGCTTGGACTACAAGCATGTACCACTACACTTGGCTGATTTTTCTATTTTTTGTAGAGACAAGGTCTTGCTATGTTGCTCAGGCTGATCTTGAACTCTTGGCCTCAAGCGATGCTCTTGCCTCAGCCTCCCAAAGTGCTAGGATTACATGCATGAGCCACCACACTCTGCCCATTTAATCGTTTTTAAATGTATAATTCAATGGCATTAAGTACATTCACATTGTGCAACCATCATCACTATCCATTTCCAGAACTTTTGCATCATCCCAAAGAGAAACTCTGTACCCATTAAACAATAATTCCCCATTCCTCCTCTCCCCCAACCCCTGGTAACCTCTGTTCTACTTTCTGTCTCTGAATTTATTCATTCTAGGTACTTAATATAAGTGGAATTATACAATATTTCTGCTTTTATGTCTGGCTTATTTCAGTTAACATGTTTTCATGGTTCATCCATGTTGTGGCATGTTGTCAGAATTTCCTTACTTTTTAAAGGCTGAATAATAGTCCATTGTATGTGTATGCCACATTTTGTTTATCCAGTCACCTGTTGATGGATATATATTACATTTTGCAGTAGTTTTTTTTTTTTTTTTTTTTTTTTTGAAAGTCTCAGTCTATCACCCAGGGTAGAGTGTAGTGGCGTCATCGTAGCTCACTGCAACCTCAAACTCCTCGGCTCAAGTGATTGTCCCGCCTCAGCCTCCTGAGTAGCTAGGACTTACAGGTGTACACCATGACGCCCAGCTGATTTTTCTATTTTTGGTAGAGACGGGGTCTTGCTCTTGCTGAGGCTGATCTGAGCTCAAGCAATCCTCCTGCCTTGGCATCTCAGAGTGCTAGGATTACAGGTGTGAGCCACCCCGCCCAGCCATTTTGCAATATTTTTTTTTTTTTTTTTTTTTT